CTTCAGGCGGCAGATCTGCTGAATATGCAAATGGATCTATAACTTCATATTCTTATTTTCTCTCCTCTTTACGGAGTTAAGCTTTAACGCTTTCCAATACCAACTGTATGCGTGTGTGTGTGTGTGTGTGTATATATATATGTGTATGTTAGACCAGTTTAACTGTTTATGTAGTATGTTAGACTAGTTTAAGTGTTTATGTAGTTAATAAAATCTTACTTGTATCACACTTGACGTTGTTCATTGTTTGCTCATAACTGGAGTCACTTAATCATGCAGATTTATGCTACAAGCTCGGTGTAAAATTGTACAGTAAGAAAGTTATTTCCCTTAACCAGGAAATTAACATTCTTAGAATTGACAGACAGTTGACCCTGAGAGGTCAAGTAAATATCTACAGCGGATCTAAATATTTATAATTAATTATAACTAGTTATGATTAATTATTTATATTTCCCCATTAGCTGATTCGCTACAGGTCTTTAGTTCAGTTAATTTCAGTAACCTGAAATATTACAGCAACTTCTGGACCTTGAACTTCATATGTGGGTATATTGGAATTAACGTCCTGCTTGGACTCGACCATCATTTTTGCCATAATGTCCAGCCTTACAGCTACTTCTATTAATAATAATAAATGCATTTTTCTTTCAGCTTCACATTTTTGCTCACTCTTCCAAACTGCTTTGTTCTCTGGTCCAACATTGCTGTGAACACATTCCTGGAGCTGTTGTCTTCATAGCCTCAAAGGAATGGAACAGATCTTGGTGGAACAGTGTCTGTGCTTGCATGGTAGCAGGCCAGTAACCACTCCTTACAATGTCACTGACTTCTGGTGCCCATTGCTCATTACAATGTTTGCATGTTAGCACCGGGACATGATGATTGTAACGGCCTGAGAGCACATGAAAGACAAATAAATAACAAGGAACTAAAGTAATGCGTTTGGTAGGATTGCATAAAAAATATATATTGTTTATCTTTTGTGCAAACCAGTATTATGGATCTACCCACAGAGATCGCAACATCACCAGTGTCACAGGAGCATATAATTTGAGGGAAGGCTGTAAACAATCAGCAAACAATCTGGAAGCGCAAAGGACAATCAGGATGGCAATAAAGAATGTTTGGATTGTGAGCAAGTACTTAGAAATCATAATGCATAATTTAATAATGTTGTCTGTTAGTGGAAAAAAAAAAAACACAAATCAGTTGAAAAAGAGACCCCAACCTTGTTCACGGAAGATGTACTTGTCATCATGGAGTCAACACAAACTCTGTTGGAGGAATGTATTTATAAAAGCCATACATGGTGGTGTGCCTACTGTGCGAAGTGTGGTATTTATGTACCAATTGATCACACTCTGCACAAAACCACTCTGAGGGCAAACATTCCCCACAATGGATGACGGCTTCTCTCACATGACAGTGATTACAGGTCATCTGGACAATATTCTCAGCTGACAACAAGTGATCTCATTACAAAAACAGATTGTTGCACTTACCGGTTTGAAGGTATAGGCGCATCAGGTGAACTAGGCGAACTGAGCCTCGCTGGTGACGTCATTGCCATTGAAGATGCTGCGTGGTATTTGGACGCATCTGCTCCCCACCGAAGTCAATCGGAAGGATTGGCGTATCATATGCACGCAAAATTGGCATTTGGCGTATGCATTGCACACAATTGGAAAGTGTAAAGTCGTGTTTTTTTTACACATTGATGAGAACGGGTTGGAACCCCCATACCATCAGAGATGCTGGCTTTTGAACTGAACGCTGATAACACGCTGGAAGGTCTCCTTCTTTAGCCCGGAGGACACGGCGTCCATGATTTCCAACAAGAATGTCAAACTTGGACTCGTCTGACCATAGAACACTTTTCCACTTTGAAACAATCCATTTTAAATGAGCCTTGGCCCACAGAACACGACGGTGCTTCTGGACCACATTCACATATGTCTTCCTTTCTGCACGATAGAGCTTTACTTGGCATCTGCAGATGGCACGGTGGATTGTGTTTACCGACAGTGGTTTCTGAAAGTATTCCTGGGCCCATATAGTAATGTCAATGACAGAATCATGCCGATGAGTGATGCAGTGTCGTCTGAGGGTCCGAAGACCACGGGCATCCAACAAAGGTCTTCGGCCTTGTCCCTTACGCACAGAGATTTCTCCAGTTTCTCTGAATCTTTTAAGGAACTAGTGCACTGTAGATGATGAGATTTGTTAAGCCTCTGCAATTTGACGTTGAGGAACATTGTTTTTAAAGTATTCCACAATCTTTTTACGCACTCTTTCACAGATCGGAGAGCCTCTGCCCATCTTTACTTCTGAGAGACTCTGCCTCTCGAAGACATCCCTTTTATAGCTAATCATGTTACAGACCTGATGTCAATTAACTTAATTAGTTGCTAGATGTTCTCCCAGCTGAATTTTTTCAAAGTAGCTTGCTTTTTCAGCCCTTTTTTGCCCCCCGTGCCAACTTTTTTGAGACCTGTAGCAGGCATAAAATTTGAAAAGAGCCCATTTAGTGGATAAAAGTGTAAAATTTCTCAGTTTAAACATTTGTTATGTTCTCTATGTTCTATTGTGAATAAACTATTGGCTCAGGTGATTTGAAAGTCTTTTCGTTTTCATTTTATTCAAAAAAAAAAAAAAAAACATCCCAACATTTCCAGGTTGTATATCTGTGATGAATTATTGTACTAACGGGACACTGCGTCCTCAATCTGGGTGACGTTGGCGAAGTGGGCTGTGTTAGGAATGCCCAAACAGTGCATGCCGTGAGCGTGACGCCACTCCTGCAGCACAGAAAACCAGAAACACCAAAGCTGTTATTGGCTTTTCAATACAGCATAGCAGTTAAGAGTAAAATTACAAATACTTGTTCATTTACATTTAGTCATTTAGCAGATGCTTTTATCCAATGCGTCTTACAAATGAGGACAATGGAAGCAGTCAAAATCAACAAAAGAGCAATGATATGCAAGTGCTATAACAAGTCTTAGTTAGCTTAACGCAGTACACGTAGCAAGTTTTTTTTGTATTATTATATAATAAATAAATAAAAAACTGAATAGAGGAATCTAGTGTAAAAGGCCTTTTTTGCTTTTTGTCAATTGTATAATAAACAAAAAGAAAACAGATAGAATATAAAAAGAATAGAGCTAGTGTTTGCTTTTTTAAGAAAACAATCAGTTAGTAAATGGAGTGCAAGTCTATAAGGGGCAAGTTTTTTTTTTTTTTTTTTTTTTAAGAATAGAATTAGAATAGAGAGTGCTAGAGTTAGAGGGTCAAAAAATGGAAGAGATGTGTTTTTAGCCAATTCTTGAAGATGGCTAAGGACTGAGTTGTGCAGGTCATTCCACCAGGAGGGAACATTTAATTTAAAAGTCAGTGAAAGTGATTTTGTACCTCTTTGGGATGAACAATCATGCACCATTCACTTGCAGAACGCAAGCTTTTAGAGGGCACATCAGTCTGAAGTAATGAATTTAGGTAAAGGGGTGCAGAGCCAGTGGTGGTTTTGTAGGCAAACATCAATGCCTTGAATTTTATGCGAGCAGCTATTGTTAGCCAGTGCAGATTAATAAACAGAGGTGTGACGTGCATTCTTTTTCACTCATTAAAAATGAATCTTGCTGCCGTGTTCTGGATTGATTGTAAAGGTTTGATAGAACTGGCTGGAAGACCTGCCAAGAGAGCATTGCAATAGTCCAGCCTGGACACAAGAGCTTGAACAAGGAGTTGTGAAGCATGTTCTGAAAGAAAGGGCCTGATCTTCCTAATGTTGTTTAAAGCAAATCTGCAGGACACAGTTTTAGCAATGTGGTCTGAGAAAGTCAGCTGATTATCAGTCACAAACTCCAAGGTTTCTGGCAGTTTTTGAAGGAGTTATGGTTGATGTGTCTAACTGGATGGTGAAATTGTGTTGAAAAGATGGGTTTGATGGAACCACAAGCAGTTCTGTCTTGGCGAGGTTGAGTTGAAGGTGATGGTCTGTCATCCAGCAAGAAATGTCTGTTAGACATGCTGAGATGCGAGCAGCTATCGTCAAGATGGAATGAGAGGTAGAGTTGAGTGTCATCAGTGTTGTAGGCTGTCCAAAGAATTAACACGGTGACAGACAGCCACATGTGAACGTGATATTTGATTAACAGAGCTTGTGTCACAAGCACGACATATCACACATTAACACAGCGCTCGCGTGTTCCTCGTATATATACCCAATGAGGGGGAGCATGTTCTTAAAGAGCCCAACACATTTAAAGTGCAACACATTAGAATACACAAATCACATTGTATTTCTGAACAGATCATTTATCACAATGATCTACATCCCCTTCCTTTAGCTGAAAGAAAGAAAACATATTTAACAATGAACAGATTTGCGGCATGACATTAACTTGGTCAACAACTGAGAATATGAATGACTTTCATTATAACAATGTAACCATTGCAAAATCAAACCTCAAGATGGTCTCAGTATGCATTAAGAAAACACATCAACAAAAAATTATATTAGTAATATAGAAATAGTCATAATAAACACATTTAGCAGGTATTCAAAATAAGAACCAAAGTGCCACTAAATCTACCATTAGTAGAACTCACTGTTCATATCTTGGGTTAGGCTTGCAAATATGACCTGAACGTGTTCTGTAAGGTGCACTGCCGACCTTAATAAGGGATTGTACTCTGTGCTTTGGCAAGTCAGTAGGTGTGGATTCTGGTTGTGGGAGGTGTGTTTGTGGTGCAGGGGAAGCACAGTCCTGTGTATATGTAGTGGTATTTTGAGAGTCAATGTCCTCGGGGGTAAGCCGTGATGGAGCGGGCTCTGCAACGGGAAGGATGTGGCGTCGGTTCCTCCTGTATGTTCTCCCATTGCATTGGATAGTGTAAGACCGAGGCTCCTTGTTCACCTCCTTTACTGTGCCAAGGTGGTCATATCTTTTCGGGGTTTGCATTCTGACAATCTGTCCCTCTGCCAGTGGTTGCAGTGGACGACTTGAGGCATTGTAGTATCGCTTTTGGGTCATCCTCTTATGGAGGAGCTGTGCAGTCAGGGCTGTTTCTAGGCATAGGCGAGCTAGGCAGTCGCCTAGGGCGCCACCAGCTGAAGGGGCGCCAATGAGCGCACGTACTGGCACTTTTAGCAGGGTTGTGATAAAGAGTGGCATGGTCACCCTGAAATATGACTGCCGCCCCCACTGGATCCCCCAACATTATTGGGCTAGAGTACTGTCAATCTGACGATGCCTGTATGCCACTAGATCAGAGTGCTGTCAATTGCTGCCTGATTGTTGCATGCAAAGTTTGCATTTGGAGCGCTCAACAACGCCGTTAGGTCAGTGGGCTCTGTCAGTGCTTTGGCAAGGTAACACTTTTTTTGGCCATGCAATAAAGCTCAAATTATTGCGCTTCAAGTTCAAAGGCCAATTTAAAATATTGGTACAGTAAATAAAGTGCACAAAATCAGTATTTTGTTTAGGCAGTATTTGTGGCACTTTTGTGGCACATTTGTCCAAATATTTGTGGCAGATTTGTCCAAAAGGTGTGCATTTTTTGCGCCAATGCATTGT